ATTAGAAGACAGTCAACGTTCTCCCACTACCAAAATGGCCGCTTATTCTCCTTCTCAACGTTTGGTCGCAAAAAGTCCTGGAAAATGCTGGCCAGACTCTATGCGAGACTGGAAACAACATATTTTCTTTGTCCGCTTGAAAGGTCCGCCATTTTCCCTGCTAACAATAGCTTCATGACGTCATGACTGTCCTAATTTATCGGGATATTCCGGACTGGTAAACGAAAGTTTCATGGCAGAAATCGATCATATTTTAAAGTTTTATCAAACTAAAGTTTAACAGCCCAAGGATGTCTTTCGATGTGTCCAGTGAAGATCTTTGGAGTGCGACTACTAGACGTACAATCAGAGAAAGATGCCAATTCATGTTTAACAACGAACTCTTGAGCGATGTCAAATTTGTCGTTCGAGACTCTGAAGGCGGAAGTGACAGTATGAAGAAGATTCCAGCTCACAAGTTCTTGTTGGCGATCAGTAGTCCAGTATTTTATGCCATGTTTTACGGCGAATTGGCCGAGAGGAAAGATTCAATCGGTATCTCTGATTGCGATCATAAAAGCCTGTTGGAGTTGTTTCGCTTCATGTACAGCGATGAAGTGAACTTGAACGCAGACAATGTCATGCAAGTGCTGTATTTGGCCAAGAAATACATGCTTCCTTCTCTCGCTGACAAGTGCACAGAGTTCCTTGGAGAAAACTTGGATACGTCAAACGTATTCCATGTATTACCAGACGCACAGAAGTACGAAGAGAAAGGTCTGCAGGATCATTGCTGGGAAGTTATCGATAAACAGGCGGACGAAGCTGTTAAATCGGATGGTTTCGTGACAATCGAGAAATCAGTGCTGGAGGCATTAGTCGAGAGAGATTCGTTGGAAATCAGAGAAGTAGAATTATTCAAAGCTGTCGATTGCTGGGCCCTAAACGAATGTGAAAAGCAAGGCCTAGCAGCAGAAGGTTCTGTGAAAAGAAGGATCCTTGGAGAACGGATCATTAAGGCAATTCGTTTCCCTGTGATGGAACAGAAGGAATTCGCCGATGTCGTGCTTGACTCTGACATACTTAAAAAGAAAGAGTTAAGTGACATGATGAAGTACTTTAGCTTGTTACTGACATTTCCGGGGGGGTCTTCTGAGACCAGAAGACGTGGTCGTAAGCGAATGAGCAGGTTTGGTTCAGGGAACAAGTTACAAGTGTGGTGGCATTATATTGCTTCAGCTGTTCGAAACTCACTTGTTCTTTCGGTAGACAAAGAAATACAACTACATGCGGTGCGTCTCTTTGGAAGCGAAAACAATGAATATTCAGTAACATTATCGGTAACTGATTCCAATGGCGCTGATCTGACAAATAAAACAGCCAAGTTTCTCTCTGAACGAATGCAAAATGAAGGAGGAGGGTATCACGGCTTTGATATCGAGTTTAAGCCTCCAGTTGTTTTACAAGCGGGGAAGCAGTATTTTTTGGAAGCGTCTATTAATGGTCCACCCTCCTGGTATGGGCAGGGTGGCTTGTCCCATGTGGAGCATGCCGGAGTAACATTTTCCTTTGAAAACAAGGCTGGAGCAGTAGAATTGAGAAATACAACTGTTTCAAATGGGCAATTTTCTGAATTTGAATTCACAGTAAACTAAGTGTATGTCCTGATATGTGAGAGGTATAGACTCAGAATAGAGGGTTTACTATTTTTCCAGTGTCAGTAGTCCTGAGGTCTTAAAGACTTAGTCCAAAACAGGCAACTAAATCATTGCAAATTAACCAATGATTTTTTTAAAAAATAAAACATATCTGTATTCCAGCTGCATTACTGATGAGCTGTGGGAGGCGTTTTTCTGTAGTAAATAAAAGTAAACTTCTCTGAAATAAAGTCGTCTTGTTACTTTCAGCGAACGAAAAGCCTAGGCACTGGTTAAGAACCGAGGCCTTCTAGGTTCAATGAAAATGTTGTTACATTTCGTTGCACTGGTAACTCTATCCTCGGAGACAACGGCAGATAGTCGATCCGGACGATGCGATATTATCGAGCGTAAGTTTGTTTGAAGAGCGGGAGTAAAACTTTCGTCCAACTCGCGTCGCTCGAAAATATCGCATCGTCCCGACAAGCTGCCCCATGCGAAGACTCACTCGCCTAACGGCTCATGTGCCTACTTTTTTGCTCTTGGCACATTTTGACGTCATCTGTGATCTGTTTCTGAACAGACGCACCGCAAAACTGCCAAGCTGTTAGTCTGGCGATCCGTCAATGAAGTGTCGGTCTCGGAGGTAAGGGTGAGAATGCCCAATTATTTTATGTTTGCAGGCACACAGCACTTCTAATTACCTAAAGCAGACACATGCCTACAATTTTCCAAAACTTTTATTCTAGTTACAACTTTATTGTTTGCCGTGAAAACAATCTTACTTTCGGTGTTTGACAGTACACACGTATCTTAGTCTAAACATCCAAATCCCCTCTTGTAGAAGTAGTGATGCTTTCAAGCATTCTTGCTGATCGACGCGTGTATGTTACCAACTTACCAACCATTCAAAGCTGTCGATTGCTGGGCTGCAAAGCAATGTCAAAAGCAAGGCCTAGCAGCAGAATGTTCTGTGAAAAGAGAGATCCTTGGAGAACAGATCGTTAAAGCAATTCATTTTCCCGGCTGTGATGGAGGAACAAGAATTCGTCAACGTTGTCCTTGACTGGGATATTCCCACAAAGAAAGAGTCACTCGACTTTATGAAGTATTTTAATTCTGTGCTGAAGTTGCCAGTGGGTTTCACTGAATTGACAAGAGCTGGTTCTCATCAGCGGATAACCAGGTTTGGATCTGAAAAAATATCTAGGGTTGGGTGTATTCATTCAGTTCTGATTCACTAGCTCAGTTTGGGTGAACAAAACATAAAGCTGCATTCAGTGCGCCTATTTTGAAGCGAACATAAGGGATACTGCAGTGACACCAGAAGTACCTTAAGCCTACTCTGGGACCTTAAGTCGCCGTAACTTAAGGTGACATTGGGCGATTTAAGGCGACTTTAGGCAACTTAAGCAAAATTGTCAGAAAAAACATTGCAACTTTAGGCGATTTCAGGCGATTTTAGGCGACTTAAGGCGACTTCAGGCGATTTTAGGCGACTTGAGGAGACTTTATTTCACTCGAGTGATATAAATTTAAACTTAGCAACAGTCTCTCCATTTATCTCTTGCAATAAACCAATATTGTACCAATATTGGTACATAATTAAGTCACCACAGTCTCAAATATCCAGGGCTGGGTTGTTCAAAGCCTGATTAAACTAACCCAGGATTAGAGAGAGTTTTGATCACTTTCATTTTTGTAACTTTTCCGTCCAGTTTTCTGTTTATGTTGTTTGTCTTTCAGTTTTGAGTTTGATTCATCCTAAAACTACACAACCATAAGCAATGAAAGATATTTCTATACAAAAAAAAAATATTACTGTACCTGGGTTAGCGCTAACCGGCTTTAGAACAAGAAAGAACCACCACACTGAACAGTTACTACTATTAGAATAATAATAACAATAAATACCAGCAAGGTAGCATGAATATTAGTGAAGATATCACAATAAAAATATATTCACAGTGACAAAAATTTATTTAAGATATCTTGATTTAATTTGAAATGTTTGCATATTTTCCATAAATTATTCAAACAACAAGGAAATTAAAATTATTTTAGGTCATTTACATGCATTTATTTTACAATTCTTCCCGAATTGTAAAAATGGTTATCTTGGTAGATTTATCTGCCATATTTTTGGCATCTCCACCGTCAGTTTTGGCATCTTCACTGTCAATTTCAGTCCTTTTCAGGGACCCAATCGATTTGTTGCTCTCCTGCCTCAGTCAGACAAAATATTCCAATACCATAATGAGTACCGCATGCTAAGTTCTTTCGTAAGAACACTTGTCAACTACTTGTCAGGCTCCAGAAAACTTTGATGACCCTGGCAGTTTATACAGTGAATCGAATCTTTTTAGACGGTTTTTACCACGGTTGATCAGACCACCAGGAAATACACCTTCCAAGCTTTTACTAGTTTCCACCTGACACATTACAAATGCCCAGAATGACATTTTCACAACGAAATACAAGAAATTGATATATCGATACTAGACACACTGGTCTCCGCCATTTTGATTCTCCCAGTAACCCTTGCGCCGCTAACTGGTTTCCATGCTTCAAGCTAAGTGTTCGGGTGATTTCAAATCACGCAATAATAAATTACTCTATTCAAATTTCGGAGAGTATTAGTTTAGCGAATTGTTTTCTTCCTTGTCTTTCTGTAAATGACTGTCGGAGTAACTATACTCGCGTGAGCTCGCGTAATTCACGGGGCCAAACTAAGTCACGTGTCCAAACATTGGCCTGGCGGCCATGTTTACTGAGAGTTTATCACAGAGAACTTTCTGTACCTTAGCTTTCGATAGTAACAGTAGCGTAGTCCACGTAAAGTACATAAGATGATGTGAATATCTGGCTTCATCAAATGTACGAAAAGGATAGATAAACATTATGCTGTAAATTGGCTCGTCCATTTACGAAATTCAAACGATATTTGCTGGAGAAATGGCCCACTTTTGTCACTCTTTTACACTGGGTAAGTAAAGTATTTTAATTGTAGACTCAGTTCGGTTCAATTGACTGTGGATGACTATATTTTTACTGCTCAGTTTAAAAGTGACTAGAAAGAATTGAGCCTTAACCCAGAAATATCTTTAATTTTTTTTCTTTTCATCTTGATTATCTGGGACACCTCTCACTGTTGTTGTTTATTAATTATACACTATAGGTCTTCGGAAGATTTGATTCAGTAATATCGTACAAAAATTAATAAGCTTAAACGAAATTATTGCAGTATAGTCATTTTTTATATCTTTCCATACTTAATATATAATATTATTATATAATAATATATAATAATTTAATAATCTTTTTTATTAACTCTTTTGCAATGAAATACAAGAAAGAAAAAAAAACCTAATAGCAATAAAAAGCCATCTGTGAGATAGTATACATCAGATTGTCATTCCTATTTAAGTATTGTCTACATGTAGAAATTATTTCTGCTAACATGGAGGCTAGACAGGTGCAGGACTATTAAAATATTAGGTTTTTTCTGTATAAGGGAGCCACGGCTTTGAGGCATAATACAGTAATTGCCGGGTCCTCAGCTTCTTAAAGAGTTTTATAAACCTGCGAGCCAGCGAGCCATGCGAGCCAAGGGGCGAGCCATGCGAGCCATGCGAGTCATGCGAGTCATGCGAGTCTCATGTGAATCATGCGAGCCACAGTACAAATGTTAAGAATTTGTATTTGTTACATTTATATTCGCAATAAAAAACGTTCTCTGGTAAAATTGTTAAAGTTGTGAGCTTTCAACAGCCAGTCTGCTGTCTTCGACGGACAAAAATGAATTGATAAAATAGACCTAAAAGTTTTAGAATATAACAAGCGAATGGCATATATTAAATAGAATACGTGTGAAAGAATGTGAGAATGCTAAAAGTGTA